TTGTCTTTTATTACTTTCATTGATTGTAAGACTATGTTATGTGATATGAGAACTGTTATGCTAGCTTTCTTTTGGTTTCCATTTGCCTGGAATATTGTTTTCCATTCCCTCACCTTGAGTCTGAATAAATCCTTGTGGGTTAGATGTGTCGTTTCCTGGAAACCGCAGATACTTGGCTCATATGTTGTTATCCATTTAGCCAGCCTATGTCTCTTGAATGGGAAGTTCAAGCCATTCACGTTTCTTGAAGGAGTTGATAAGTGGGATGGATTTCTGTTCATCCTGTTGAGTAGAACTTTATTGCTATGCTTTACCTCTTGAACCATTGTGGTGACTGGGCTCTGACCTTTAGTTTTTGGGGGTTTTTACACTGGTGGGCATCTATTTTTCTGATCAATGTATATTACAGGTCTGGTACTTCTTGCAGAGCAAGTCTGGACTTGGCAGATTCTTTCAGTGTTTGGTTATCTGGAAAAGAGTTAATTTCTCCATCAAATATGAACCTTAGTTTCACAGGATACAAAATTCTAGGCTGGCAGTTGTTTTGTTTAAGATTGAAGATGGGGGCCCACTTCCTTCTTGGTTGTAAGGTTTCTGCTGAGAAGTCTGTTGTTATCCTGATGGGTTTTTCCTTGTAGGTCAATTGTTGCTTACATCTAGCTACTTGTAGACTTTTGTCTTTTACTTTGACTTTGGCCAGGTTTAATACTATGTGTCTTGGAGATGTTTTATTTGCTGTGAATCTTTCCAGTGTTCAATGGCCATCTTGTATCTGGATGTCTGGATCTCTGGTAATCCTGGGGAATTTTTCCACAATAATTCCCTCAAGTAGATTTTCTATGCTTTTAGCACTTTTTTCTCCCTCAGTGATATCTATAATTTGTTTGTTTGTTTGCTTCACATAGTCCCATATCTCTTTAAGTGATTATTCTGCCTCGTTCTTTTCTTCTTTGCCTCTTTAAATGATTGGTTTAGCTCCAGAGCCCTGTCTTCAAGCTCTGAGATTTTTTCTTCTCCTTGGTTTAATCTGTTGCTGAAATTTTGTGCTGCAGTTTGAAAATTCCTGAAATCCTCTTTCATGTCTTTAAGTTTTATTATATCCTTCCTAAGTTCATCAGCCTCTTTGGTGACCTTTTCATTAATTTTCTGAAATATTTTTTCAGCCTCTTTTTGTTGGTTTTTAGTTTTCTCTTCAATTCCATTCATCTTATTTGCCATCCATATTCTGAATTCCATTTCTGTCATTTCAGCAATCTCCTTGTAGTTGGAGTTCACTGCTATAACTCCATTGTAATCTCTTGGGGATGTTGATCTGTTTTGAGTTTTCATGTTGCCTGGGTTCTTTTGCTGGTTTCTTCTCATCTGAACCCTTTTTCTGAGTTCCAGGGTAATGGGCTTTCAGGACTTCTGTTCCTTACTGTGAACTCCCCAGATAGTTTTAGGATGTTCAAGTTGGGAGCTGGATGAGACTCTCTCCACAGAGGCTGGTGTTGTGGGGATTGCTCTACCCACGGTCTCCCTACAGAGGTAACTGGAGCAGCTGGATAAGGTTGTTGTGGGTTCCTGGGTTGTGGGCAATTGCTCAAAGGAGGTCACAGTGTGCTGCCAGCTTTAGGCTGGTGGGGGGGGTCCCCAATCAGGCGTTGGACTTCAGAGTATCTCTTCGAGCCCTGGTTTTGTGGTGGAGGCTCTGGGTAGGGTCTTGGGGTCTAGATGTAGTGCTGGAAACTTTGGAATGGTGTCTCTGGCTTTGTGAGATTTCTGGAGGCTAAGGGGCAGAGCCTCAGGCTCTAGCGTGAGAGCTTCTAAGCTATGACTAGGAAGGAACTGTGAGCAGAACCTTTGCACAAGGCCTTTTAGCTAAAAGTGGGGCTGTGCAGATGGCAGGCTAACCCATCCTGGAAGAGTAGGGTCAGGGCCATGCAGACTTGAGGCAGTTGGGGCAGTAGGGTGGAGTCTTGGCCGAACAAGTAGCAGCAGGCTGCTCCACAGGCTCTGCGGGCCCATGAATGCCAAGTCAGGTAGGCTGAGATTGAGTCCAGTAGCTAAGGGACCACAGAGCTTTTCACACTCCACTCAGAGCCTGCTGAAGCAGCCAGCGAGAACCTCTTAGGTTAGAGCCTGCTCTGCCCTGGCATTAGAGCCTCCAAACAGGGACCACATTGGAGCCAGAAGCAAAGCCTCTGATCAGGGGATCCAAGCCAGGGGTTATGCAAATGGTGTGCTGAGTTGACCTGGAGGTCAGGGTCAGGGCCAGGGAAGAAGGAAGTGGCTGGTGCCTGGAGAGCAGGTTCACAGTGGAGCAGGCTGCAGTCTGCTCCTTAGGCACTAAGGTCCCAGAGATGCCAAGTCAGACATGCAGGGGTCACAGCTCTCTTCACCCCACAGAGGACCTGCTGAGATGGTCACCTGAGGCTTCTTGTGGCGGAGCCTGTTGCACCCTGGCATGAGAGCTTTCGAGCTGGGACTGGTGTGGAGACAGGAGATAAGCCTTTGACCAGGGGCTGCAAGCCAGGGGCCATGCAGATGACAGGATGACCCGACTTGGAGGGCAGGGTCAGGGCCAGGCAGGCAGGTTGGGGCCTGGAGAGCAGGTTCAGGGCTAAGCAGACTGCAGGCTGCTTCTTAGACCCAAGAGTCCCACAGATGCCATGTAAGACATGCACAATTCTCCACACCCCACCCAGAACCTGCAGAAACAGTCACCCAGAGCCTCTCAGATCAGTATCTGCTGCTCTGCAGTCAATTCCTGTGCCCAGGTCCTGTTGTGCTCTAGGGGTAAAGTGGCTGGCAATAATTTCCAGGGTCTGGCTCAGAAAAGCCACAAATCAGTGCAGTGTCTTCCCTAGCCCAGTGTAGCCCCAGCATCGTGCACCCAAGAGTTCAGGATTTCCTTAGCTCTTGCCTGATCTTCACAGTGTCTGTTATCTAGTGCAAGGGCTCTGCACAGACTCCAGGCATGTCCCTGTCTGAGCAGGTAGAGGTCTGTGGGGGTGGTGGGTATCATCTGGCAGTTCAATCCACACTGTACCAGCAAGGCGAGCACAGTGCTCCCACACTCTAATTCTCCTGTTTTTCTCTTCATGTTCTCTAATCTTTGTATATGTATTATCCCATCACCTTTTTTTCCACACTCAATATCCCATGTTGCATCTCTCTGAATTCACTATGATACTCCCTGGGTGAGCCATCCATATGTAGGCAGCTGCCTGTACCTTTCACTTCTTTCATTGGTAGCAGCAAGCTGGCAGGCTGCCTCTAGTCTGCCATTTTTTCCCCTGCTACAATAATAACTGGTAACTTAACTTTAGTTGCATATAAAAATTCTTCCTCATTACATCTGCCCTCAACTTTGTTATTGACATCATCAATTATATCTTATATTGTATACCCATTAACAGAGGTTCAATATTATTTTTCTGTTTTTGTCTTCAAATTTTAGAGCATGATTAAAAGTATTTTCTGCACCATCATTTTAATCCTACAGAAATTTACTTAGGTGTACTTACATATCTTTCCCAGGGATTTATTTATTTTCATAAGATTTTGTGGTGTTTTCTAGCATCTTTCTCTTTTCTATGAAAGGAGTTTCCTTTGGCATTTCTTGTGGGTCAGGTCTAGTGGTGATAAACTTTTTCAGCATCTAGTTATCTTAATAAATAAGTCTTTATTTTTTCTTCATTTAGAAGGGTAGTTTTGCTGGATACAGTATTTCTGCTTTAAGCTTTTGATTTTTTTTTTACCATTTTGACTTTATCACTGAACTGTTTTCTGGCATGCAAGCTGTCTGTTGATAAATCCACTAGTAATTTCATAGGAGCATGCTTATAGACGAAACATCACTTTTCTCTTGCTGCTTTCCATATTCTCTTGTGCATGACTCTCACAACTTTGCTTATAGATCTGTCCTGTTATAAGTTTCTTTGTGTTTCTCCTAGCTGAAGTTTCTTGAGCTTCTTGTTTTATGCCTTTTTTCTTATATTTGAGAATATCTGTCATTTCTTATTGTATTCTTCAGCCTCACAATGTTTCTTTCTATTCTTTTCTTTTTATAAATATTCTCATTTCCCTGATTTTATTTAGTTGTCTGTATTGTTTGCATTTATTCTATTCGTTCAGCATCATTCAGATGGATATTTTTAATATTTTCAGATACTTAATACCTCTCCATTACTTTATGGCTGATTTCTAATAATTTATTTTGTTTCTTTGACTAGACTATGTCACCTGGATATTGTGTATATATTTTAATCTTTGGTTGAGATTTGTGGATTTAAAAAAAGCCACCTGTCACAAACTTTATAAAGTGGCTATGTCCTAGGGGACCCTGACCCCAATTAACTGTACTAGAAATTTAAGGAGCATCAAATCTGTTCTGAGCATGTTTATTCTGTAAAATTTTGTGTTTATTTTCCAGTTAAAACAATATTCCCACATTTCTTCTTAAGAGCCAATCATCATTTGCTACATCTGCTCCCTTTGTGGCACTGAAGTCCCTGTACTGTTGTAAGAATCTTTTACCTTTGGTTTGAGTATACCCATTCTGTGTTTTAGATTATAGCAGCATTCCTTTCAGCACTCTGTGTTATGGTAAATAGAAACCAATCTTTATAAGGGCTCCTGAAGCCAGAAGGATGGACACAGGTGTTACTATTTTCTTTCTTTTTTGAGGGAGAAGCTGGGAGTTGTGAGTTTACTTCTATGTATACCATGCTGTGTTAAACAGGAAAGGCCATGGTGGGTAAACATAATGAACTTTTCTTCCCTTTCTATGTGGCTCTTGGCATTGTGCTCAACTGGCATGCTGCAAACTCTTGCCTGGTTTTTAGAATTCCCACAAGTCAATCTGGTCAGTATAATTTTGTTAAATTTATTTATCTAAAATATAATTAGAGCCTGTATATTTTATTATGCCATTTTGCTGGTGTGCTTGGTATTACTTCACATATTAGATTTGTAATTCATCTGATTCTGAAAGAAAGAAATAAGTGGGATAATTTGGTATTTTTAAAATTTCCTTCAGCTGTGTCTTCTCATTCCACCCAAGACCATTTGCCAGAGCAGGGGATAAATGTTACATTCCAAAGAGTGATACTAAGAAGATATGGAAGCTGTGGCTTTGAGAATTTAAACTTAATGAAAGACTGGGAAAAGGTGGGTGAGTGTAAGAAGCAGAAAAAATGTTACAATGGACTTAAACAATGTTCAACAACTACCCATAGCAAAATATTTCAATGTAATAAATGTTTGAAAGTCTTCAAAAACTTGTCAAATCTAAATAGACATAAGATGAGACATACCATAGAAAAATCTTTCAAATGTAAAGAATGTGGGAAAGCCTTTAATCAATGCTCACACATTACTGAACATAAGAGAATTCATAATCAAAAGAAACCTTACAAATGTAATGAATGTGATAAAGTCTTTAACTCTTGCTCAAGCCTTTCTAATCATAAGATAATTTACACTGGTGAGAAATGGTGTAAATGTAAAAATTATGGCAAAGATTTTAGCCACAGCTCAAATCTTTCTACACATAAGAGAATTCATACTGGAGAGAAACCTGACAAATGTGAAGAATGTGGCAAAGCTTCTAACCACAACTCAGACCTTAGTATACATAAGAGAATTCATTCCAGAGAAAAATCCTATGACTTTGAAGAATGTGGCAATGCCTTTAGCCACTACTCATATCTTTCTGTATATAAAAAAATTCATTCTGGAGATAAACCGTACAAATGTGAAGAATGTGACAAAGCCTTTTACTGGTGCTCACAACTTACTGCACATAAGGTAATTCATACTGGAGAGAAACCCTACAAATGTGAACAATGTGGCAAAGCTTTTAACCAGTGCTCATACCTTACTAAACATAAGAGAATTCATAATGAAGAGAAACACCACAAGTGTGAACAATGTGGCAAAGCCTTTAACCGTTGTTCAGACCTTACTATTCATAAGAGAATTCATACTGGAGAGAAACCCTACAAATGTGAAGAATGTGGCAAAGCTTTTAACCGAAGCTCAAGCCTTATTATACATAAGAGAATTCATACTGGAGAAAAACCCTACAGATGTGAAGAATGTGGCAAAGCTTTTAACCACAGCTCAAACCTTAGTCTACATAAGAGAATTGTTCACACCAGTGAAAAACCTTACAAATGTGAAGAATGTGGCAAAGCCTTTATTCATTGCTCAGTCCTTACTAAACATAAGAGAATTCATACTGGAGAGAAACCTTATAAATGTGAAGAATGTGGCAAAGTCTTTAATCAATGCTCAGACCTTACTAAACATAAGAGAGTTCATACTGGAGAGAAACCCTACAAATGTGGAGAATGTGGCAAAGCTTTTAACCACAGCTCAAGCCTTATTATACATAAGAGAATCATTCATACTGGAGAAAAACCCTACAAATGTGAAGAATGTGGCAAAGCCTTCAACCGTTGCTCAGACCTTACTAATCATAAGAGAATTCATACGGGAGAGAAACCCTACAAATGTGAAGAATGTGGTAAAGCCTTTAACCGTTGCTCAGACCTTACTATTCATAAGAGAATTCATACTGGAGAGAAACCCTACAAATGTGAAGAATGTGGCAAAGCTTTCAACCGTTGCTCAAACATTTATAACTATAAGTTATATCTGAGAGAAATCCTACAAATGTGAAGAATGTGGCAAAGCTTTTAACCACAGCTCAAGCCTTATTATACATAAGAGAATCATTCATACTGGAGAGAAACCCTACAAATGTGAAGAATGTGGCAAAACTTTTAACCACAGCTCAAACCTTAGTCTACATAAGAGAATTATTCATACCGGAGAAAAACCTTACCAATGTGAACAGTGTGGCAAAGCCTTTAACCAGTACTCACACCTTTCTGTACATAGGAGAATTCATATAAGAGAAATCCTACAAATGTGAAGAATGTGGAAAATCTTTAAATATTGCTCAAACCTCTCTAATTAAAAGATAATTTATACAGGAGAGAAACCCTACAAATGTGAATAATGTGTCAAAGCCTTTAAGTGATGTTCATACCCTACTAAACAGAATACGTACTGAAGAGAAATCTTACTAAAGTGAAGAATGTAGCTAAGCCTGTAACCAATGCTCAAACATTTATAACTATAAGTTATATCTGAGAGAAATCCTACAAATGTGAAGAATATGGGAAAACATTTACCTGGTGCTTTTCCCTTGCTATGCAGGAGAGAAGTCATACCTGTGAAAAATCCCGCAAATGTAAAGAAAGTGGGAAAGCCTTTAATAAGTGCTCACATATTACTTGACATTGGATAGTGATATTGGGTAACAGTGGTATAAGTGTAACAACTGTCAAAATATCTTTTGGAAAATAAAAGTTTTAGAGTGCTCCAAAGTGTTTATACTGAGAAAAAATATTACAGCTATAAAGAGTATGACTATACCTTTAATTCTGTCACAGATCTTATTGTGCATAGTAGAATTTATACCGGAACAAAACCCTCCATCAGTTGCTCAAAGTTTAAGTTCAGAGAATGTACACTGGAGAGAAACTCTACAAATGTATATTTGTCCAAAAGCAGAGGGTTTATTATAGAAAAAAATCTAACATGAAAATTGTTAAATAATTTATGTATATGTATGTTTAAAAGGAGCAGGAGATTGATTTTATGGTGAGTTAGAATCACAAAGTATACTTTTTTGCGTTAAAAATTTTAGATTTCTTTTGAAAGTTATATGTTGATGTAATTCAACTTTCAAATTACTTACTTGATGGTATGCCTTCATTTTTGTCAAAGCATGTGGTCAATTTTTGCTCATTAAAACTATGAAAGGTCCTTCTAAATTACATGGACATCATTCATATACTCTCCCAAGGAATATTAAGGACACTTAAATGTAAGATGCATGAAAAAAATTTAACTGGAGAGGCTCTTTGTATTGACTTATAAGAGTGTTGTGATGTCAAAGGTGGGTGGTCAGAGAAATTAATATTCTTCTCCATTATTGTTAGAAATATTTTGAATTTGAGAAGTAAATTTTTTTATCAATTGCATATTAAGGTAATAAAATACTATGGATTTTGAAATGCTTTTTGTATTATCAACTTAATTTGTTTTAATAAAACAAAATTGTATTTAATGTGTTAAGAGTGTTGTGCATACAATGGAATGTTATCCTACCACAAACATTAACCTATTCCACCTTATTGAAGGTTGTAAGCAACAGATGGTAACAACATATTATTTGGCAGCCTAGTGGAATAACATCTTTAGTGACTTTTATTCCAATAGGCTTTAAACTTCAAGTAATTTGAAAATATTATTTCTATAAGTTATATTTTTGTTATTTATATAGATAAAGGGTTATTATGGTGGTTATAATGAAGATTATGTAGGAGTATAATCAAAAACCATAGATTGCTGAATCCTGAATGACCATTTACAAAATTTTATTCTACATTTTTCTTTGGACATGTGACCTCTCTGGCCTGCAAAACACATACATACTTTCATGTTTTATTTACATGGAGTCAAATATAGAAATATATCACTCTAAAGATAAACATAAGTTTTAAGAGGATTATGTAGAAAGTAATTGTGTTTATGTTAGGGTGTACCAGTTTTGAGAAGAAAATTAATATCTTGGAACAAAATGGGTGATTTCAAAAATGTTGACAATTTACTTGCAAAGTAGAAACCTCAAAGATTCTGTAAGTGACTGTATTTTCTTAGCCTTGTATTGAATTCATTTTTCTAAAATGTTATGGCTCCTGTTAAAAAATCTTTCCATGAAAATCTGCTGGTGTTTATTGTCTCTTACTCATGCTAGACCTAGTACATAATTTATTGCTTCCAGTATATTTGGAGTATTCTTTATATGACCTGCTCAGAGACTGTAAGAATGGCTTTTATTAAATTTAATGGTGCTCACAAAATAATTTGAAGATGTAATTCCACAACAGTGTATTAAGTTAAAGTGTGTTAATTTGTACTTTCCATTTTTTGTCTCACTGGAAGAATTCTATTTGAGCTAATTTTTCTTTAGTTATTATTTCTTTCACTTTTTATAATTGACATAACTAAGTTCATTGACTTTATTGGGACAATATGTTTAGGTATAACTGGGGAGGTTTCTTAAGTCATGGGTTGTTTTGATATTTATATGAAGTAGACAAACACAAGACAGCACTAGGGTTGTAATAGATGCCCCATAATGAGCAGTAAGTATTCCTGTTAGAGTGAGTTTGTGTCTCCATATTAGAAATAGAAAATGGCTCAGTGTAAGAAATAGAAAATAGCCACATGTAGAGATGGCACTGATTATTCATATGGAAAGATGACACCTGTTCCCAGGCTACACAATTGACTCTTTCTGAATTAAGAGAAAGAAATGCTGCTTTTATTTCCTAATTATCTCCAGTTCTTTCCTGTCTCTTTATGTTCATCTCCAGCTACACATGCATCTCAGCCCTTCTGTTTTTTTCCTGTGTTATGGCTAACAGCTTTCTCACTGTTCTCCCCACCCCATGTCCTTTCATGCAGTACATTTTAGGTTCTGTAGAGAAGTTTAGATTTTTTTAATGTGGTGAAACATTGTTTTTATCTGGAGAGTTTGAGAGCATTTTCATAGGGTATATATGAAACATTCTAATCACTTAATTGAGAAAAGAAGGATACAGTGTCTATGGACCAGAGGGTTAAATCAGTTGGCATTGTTTGTTTTTGTAAAAGGAAATATTAAGTTAGTTAGACTAAGTATAGCATTAATAACAGTGGGCCTTAACATATTATAAACAATATGTAAAGAGAAACATCAGAATTTGGAAATTGCTTAATTTTCAACACATCTTAGAAATAAAATCTTTAGGACAGTTAGTGGTAAGGATAAATTTTGAATTTAGTTTTTTATGAAATACCTATATCACAACATTTATTTCTATGCAGATTTCTTTTAGTTTTGGGTATGCATGTTAAGTGTTGGTCAATAATAGAATGATGTATGTGGATTTATAATTTGGAATAACTTCCTTTTCCAGATTGATATTACAGTCTTGCGGAACTTCTCATTTATTATATCTTTCCTTTTTTTTTTTTTTTTTTTTCTCATCAGTTGACAGGCACTTAGGTTGATTTCATATCTTTGCAATTGTGAATTGTGCTGCAATAAATGTCCCATGAGGAGACCACTCTGGGTCACCTT